AGTGGAGCTGTGCTCAGTGCCCTAAATTAATATTAATATTAATAATCTTATTATTACATTAATACATATGTACTAATATTAATATTTTTATTATTATTAAGCTATAATATAATAATCATGTCCATCTTACTTACCTTAAAATATCTGTAGTTTTCAAGGTAGAGTGAGAGGTGAGTATACAAGATTAAATGGAATAAATGGACAGAGAGAATATGAGAATTGTAGAATGTCCACGGGGGGGGGAAGGATTTTTAATGAAACAACGTTGTTGTGTTGTTACCAGCCCGGACCGAACGGTTCCTGTTTCACTGTTCAGCCGACCAGAAAAACATCTCATATTTGTTAATTTATATGTTATGTGCATGTTTATTATATAATTTTGAAAAAAAACACACTCATTCACCTCAAAATGTCTATATTAACGTTTTATACACATTTAATTGGCCTCAGTGATTATTATTATCATTATTAATATTGGCATCTTCATGACCAAGTACTCGCTTAATGAGTGGCTCTGAGACAGACGAGCAAAGAACAAGACACACAGGCAGACAGACACACACACAAGATAGGACAGACAGGAAAGACAGACATACCAGGTAGACACAGACAGGACACAGGTAGACAGACACACAGGTAGACGAAGACCACACGGGTAGACATAAAGACAGACACACATGGTAGACATAATGGACACACAGAAAGACAGACACACTAGTAGACAAACAGAAAAAGACACACAGAGATACAGGACAGATATACAGGCAGACAGATACAGACAGGGTTTATGTTGCAACAATGAAAAACAATTAGAGAGTTCGAGAGTAGAGCTTTCTTGCCACCAATCTCAGTGCAAGATTCAGACTTCATCTTAGGGTCCATGGTGAAATTTACTGTCAGTAGTACAGTTAATACAGTATGATGCGCTGATAGGGCAGGGTTACTCAAAAACTGATGCTGCCTGCATGAAACATTGCCCAACGCGAGTATTGTTAATTTGTACAGTGGTGTGCATCAGCCGGCCAAAGCCCAGCTGTCAGATGCACGGTCGTAAGTGAGTGGGACGTATGTCGAGCAGGTCGTAAGTCGGATGGTAGGTGTATAAAATATATACAGGTCCTTCCATCACCAAATCGGCATCATTGGGACCTGTAGTTTGCCGGATTTTTGCTGAGTTTTTACCGGATACAGTGTTAGGTTAGATACACTTAATAAATTAACCAACTTGGCATACACAAAGTTCAATGACTCGGCAAAAATCGAAATTTCCGCGACTTCAAGCTCCAATTTTCAAGGTTAAACATTCCCCCCCCCCCCCCCCCACCCCCCCCCTCCCTCCCCCCCCCCCCCCCCCCCCACCCCCCCCCCTGCACTCCACTAGCCTCCCATTTTCTTCATGTAAGCAATTCAAAATAATGTCTATTTCCTATAATACATCTTTCCATTCGCTATCAAATGAGACCAAAGAAACGAGAAATACAACATTTAAAAACCATGCAAAAATATACGCAAAGAGGCGGCTAAATGGCTGTGAAGGAATTCCATTAATTATAGTCTGTCTTTTTTATTTTGTTGTATGTTAAGAAGCATCTTTCCATCATACATATTCCCAAGTTTCATAAGACAGCCAACAAACAACCAGAGAAAAAAATTTTACGCCAATAAATCATATATGCAAGCCCAAGCCAGGTAATGGAAATACGCCATAATGCACCATTAGGGTTTTAATCCTAGGTTCTCTATACTACACTTGGTATAGTATTTATAAAAAAAAAATCTATGTAACTGTATTTGTGTATACCTGAATAAACTTTATTTCTAGGTCTGTCGACAGAGTACAAGAAACCGCCCATTCACTTATTTCAATACCCTATAGATAGTGGTCAGAAATTGCAATTTGGCCAATTTCATACAAATTTCACAGATGCCAATTTCAAATAGGGTCCAGAATATACATGGCAGACTTTCCTGCACTAAAATAACATTTTCTGGTTCAGTAGTCACACGGACTCAGGCCCTATTATATTACTCTTGCTTTCAATTTGGAATTTTTATTCACAAAAAATAGAATGATTTACGTTATGCAGACTGCTGCATTATTGTAATAAGTTTATATTTAATGTCAAACTCACCAATTCTTGACTCCCCATATGGAATTGAATTCTAGGAGCTGGCTCAGGTGGGACAGGTATTTGTTTACTCTTGAGCTTCACTAAAGAATAGAACAATTCCGCTACTGTGAGTGCAATTTCAAGGTACTTTTAGTATAAAAGCAATCAAAATTCATATCATTTCTGTAATGTATCTTTCATTCTATCGAAAATGAGACCGAAAAAACGAGAATATATTATAATCAGTACCATACGAAAATTATAACGCTAGCGGCTTACTAATGACTTGAGCCTAGCCACGTCTATTTATAGTCTGATTTTTCATTTTTGGTGTATGTTAAGAAGTATCTTTCCAAATTACATTGCCCAAGTTTCAATAAGATAACCCAACAAACAATTGGAAAATAACAATTAATAATAATAATAATATATAATAATATCCTTTATTTACTACACTACATGTTACATTGTTATAAGCCCTAAGCTGACATCACAGTGACTTACTACTATATAGAAAGCCACTTGTTATGCAGCAGTATTTCAAGCAAATTAGGTCTGTGTCCAGGATAACACCCACACCAGGCGACTAAACACACCGCGGTACCCATTTACTGATGAGTAAACATAGACAACAGGCTGTAAAGAAATCACGCCCAATGTTTCTACCCTGGATGGGTATCGAATATTTTTACCAAAAATCATTATATGGCTAACCAAGGCCAGTACTAGAAATAAGCCATGTTGTCTGACTTTTGTGGGTTATCTAGGTCTATCTAACACTATGCTGCTGTGTCTGATAATCTCATATAGCGAAATGAACTTTTTTTGTTTCGGTTTATGGTGCAAGTATAGTGTTTATCACAGTTAGCCTGTGTAATACTCCGTTTTCTCTTTAATGCCCCAAGACAAGGATAGGAGAATGGTATTGATATTACCCATATCCTCTTCATAACTCCGTCGAACTGCTCGGTATTATGCCAAATATTATTCATTCTGGGAGCTATTTAACACTGTGTTTGTTATTTATATTGTTTATTATGTCATAATTAGATCAATTGTGTTAGGCAATAAGTTAGTGGTTGATATTAGCATAATATAAAGCATATTCTGACATCACGGGACTTGAAGCTCATGGCACGACAGTGGCTTCAAAGCACCTTTATCTTTAATGGACAATGTCTGTGTAG